TATCATACTTAACAATTTTGCGGCATTTGAAGACACTCGGGTACAATAAAAAATTACCAATAGCAACTCCAATGCTAACAGTAACACACAAACAAAAGCGCTTAGAATGGGCACGAAAACATCTTAACGATAACTGGGAAAAAACATTATTTTCAGATGAAACAGCCTTTCAACTGTTTAGGAATACAATAAAACATTGGTACAAGGGTACACGTCCGGTTCGCTGCATGCCAAAAGACAGATCAAAAATTTTCGCCTGGGGTGGATTTTGCGCACAAGGCAAAACTAGTCTTTTTTGTTTTAGGGGAATTATGGATGGACCATTTTATGTTGATATCTTAAGAAAACATTTACCTGAGGTCACAAGGATGCTGAATAACGATTGGAGATTTCAACAGGACAATGATCCGAAGCATACAAGTCGTGTGGCCAAAGAATTTCTCAAAGAAAACTTTCCTGAAGTAATTGATTGGCCATCTAATAGTCCCGACCTTAATCCTATTGAAAATCTATGGAGTATTGTTAAAGGGAATGTGGAAAAACGGCAACCAAAAAATTTGGCCGAATTAGAACGATTTATGATAGAAGAATGGAATAATATTCCAAATTCTATTATTATTAATTTAGTAAGTTCCATGAAGGAACAATGTAAACTTATAATAAAAAAAAATGGTGAACGTATTCCATATTAATTTTTTATTAATAAAATCTATTGCTTTTGATGTCTCAAATACTTAATTTGCACGTAATTTGAATCGACCCTTGTTGTGTAATAGCCTAATAAAATTTTCCAAAGACTTTTGTAACACACTGTATGTATATTCGCTTTATTGTTACAAATAAAATATAGGTACATAGATGACAGATACATGATAAAATACAGTTAAAAAAATCTATCTATTTTTGGATTTTTTCTTGCACCCGACACTTCTTACTCTCGGGTTCGCTGGTAGCTTTTATCCTATCTTTTAACAGACCCACTCATATGCATTGTAATGAGAACCAGCATGAATAGATCATGAAAATGACATAGGTAGAAAGAAT